AATGCTAAGTTCCATTTGATCTGTAAGTTAGCCGTGTCCTGACTTGAGAGATTTCTCTCCTGGTTCTACAGGTTTCTTTCGTTTCTCCTCAGTCAAAACCCAACGTTCTAAATACTCCAGTTTCGAATTCTTCATTGTACAGGGTTAGACTCGATTTCGTATGGAATTATTTTGAATATTYATGTGTTCCAGTCAAGGTCCGTGGAATTTTAATGTGTTGTGATGTTCAAGTTGTGCATTCTTTACTTTACCGTTGGTATTTCTCGATATTTGTTAACAGTAATGAGGCTAACCCTGTATAATTGAGTCAGTAATCAATGAACACAGAAGTATTTTACGCAAATGGCCTAATCCAATCGATGCATTATATTATCGGCAACATTGACTTGCTCCAATTCTCGCTCGCTAATTTTTCCTCCTTTGCAAACTCGGATTCAAATAGTGCACTTCCCGTTACGACGGCTTTCCGAGGGGAATGACGTGAAGGAAACAAGAAGGCAAGGAGAGCACTATATGAATCTGAGTTTGCAACGAAAAAAATTAGCGAGTGAGACCTGAAGCAAGTCGACAACAACGCGACTTGGTGTTAATAAAAGATGAATTTATGTTTGTTTGTTTTTTTTTCTTTCTGAAAAGAAACCAGTTTGCACGCGACAAGAGAAACCTAGAAGAGAAGGTGATGTCCCTTGAGAACGCGCTGGGACTCGTTCGAGAACGAGCTATCAAAGAGGAGGAATGGGAAGAAGCGGCTAACACGACACTCAAAACACTGCAGAAAGAAAAACGGCAATTATTAACCAAGTAAGTCGGTGGTAAATATTCAAGATATTATATAGTATTATTTGGGATACCTGTGTATTTGAATATTATTGGGGTTGGGAAACCTGTGTAATGAGAGGGAAAAAAAGTAAGTAAAAAGCTCTATTTAGAATGCCCTTGTATTATAAAACTTTGAATGCCCTTGTATTGTAAAACTTTGACTTGTGATACCTGTGTGTGGTTGAATAGCTTTGATGCGTTCCATGTATACTCAAACTGCTATTTTGATTGTTCTTTTAGTTTAATGGACAGTGAAGAGGTTATCCGCGAGTACCAGCCCACAAGCCGTGAAAGCGAAGCTCGCTTGACCATGTTGAACAAAGAAAATGACGAGCTACAGAACAAAGTGAACGAGTTGACTAAAGATAAAATTAGTTTAAGTAGAGAACTGACCAAAACAAGGGTAAGATATGTAGAAATACTGTGTACAGTAAAGTACCAAAAATACAGATCCCCTAAAATGAATGAGTGAATGGTGAAGGAAATCAAAAGGAATTGCGAAAGAACAAGGGAGGGAAAGTTAGGGAAGGAAGGAGGGAAGGAAGGAAG